TTTTTTCTTCAGGAACACCATCTACGAAATTCTGCTGTCTCTCCGATTCAATCTGTTCCTGTTTCTCGTTCCACTAATACAGCCATATCAGGATCTTCAAAATTCACGTATAGGTAAGCTTCTCTTTGTCCACTTTTTGCTCATAGTTAATGGAAGCTTTCTATTCCACTTTTGTTATGAACTCTAACTAACATAACTGCTCTTGATTGAAGATCTCCATTAGCAGACATCCTTCAACCACAGGATATGAAAGACCTATGCTCACTTTTGGTTGTATTTTCATCAAAAGCTACTATGACTCTCACAGGTACTGATTTCTAAAAATAATTGTTAATATTTTGTATGTTTCTTTGCATTTTAGTTTGGTTTTAAATTTTCAGCCAAGCACAGGGCTAAAATGATTATAATAACATACGTTTCTTGGTCTATCATTCTGTTATCAATAGCAGCGGATGTATAGTAGTCCATAAGAGTAATTTTCCACAAATGTATAGTGTTTGCAATTAAAGTAATTGTGCAGATGTTCACAAGTAGTTTAAAAAATATATTTATACACTATAAATTCCATTTAGAAATTTCTTTACTCTGAGTCATATTATGGGACTCATGTATTTATCAGGGAAAACTCAATAACTTACTTGTTTTCTTTTCTTTTTCTTTGTTTCTTCTTTATTTTGTTTAATGCTACAAGTATTTTGAATTGTCCTTTGTATTTATCTAACCAAAAATTTCAGACTTATGTCTGGTATTATTTTCAGTGTTATTATTTTCTTCAGGGTCTACTTTTGGATTGTAAACATTCAGTGATATGGTATTTTTTCTATCTATACTTGAGGTTTCAATACATAATCCTGTCTATTTATTTATTTTTATTTTCAAATTGAGTATCCATTTCCCCCCTTGGTTTATTATCTTGAGCAATTAATTAAATATTCCCATTTTTCATCTTAAAATCATAAACGGAAAAATGACTAATAGCAAAATGTTCAATCTTTGCATCTGCAAGGTCACCCCTAGCGGCAATGTTTATTTGTCATTGTTTTTTTTCGAAAGAGTAACTGAAGGTGTAACTCTGCTCCATTTTTATGAAATATATGATATGATTTTTGTTTCTTTAATTCTAAATCTGCAGAAAAAATAGGCGAAATGGATACGAAAACACAGAGAAACAATACTAAGACTGATGTTGGTTCATCCACTCAAGAGATTGAAGATTCTAAGCAAGGAAATGCATTTAATAATGGTGCCCCTAATGATCCTTCAATTGGGAACAGCATGGATGTGGAAGAAAGAAGTGGTTCTGGAGCATATGGCTGTGATATGCAAAATGAGAGGCCATTGTCTCCTGGAACACGTGCATTAATGTGTGATGAAGAAGATACAATGTTTATGGCAGCTGGGTCACCAACTGGATTGGCAGGCCGTTGTCCAAGCACAACTCAAAAATATAATGGGCATGAATGCACAAGGATTTATGCAGAGCAAGAAAGGATCATCTTAACTGCTTTTCGGGATATTCTCAACGATCTCATGACTGTTGGAAGCATAAAAGGTAAGTTTTTTTTTTTTGGTTTGTAATCCTATATTTAAAGCCATTAAAGGTCTTCTTGGAAGCTAGAACCATCCTCTATAAGGGTCAGTTGCTATTGGAGAATCTGTTAAGACCTACAATTCTCACATGTTTGAAAATTTGGAATCTGTCTTCTTAATGTTTGAGTAATTTTTATAGTTAGGCCCCCTATCCAAACAACTTTAATTTTTGGTTGGTTTAAAGGTACATTTAACATTTCCATTAATTGTAGCACTCAAGTGAATTAACTGGAAATGGGTACTTAATGTGATGATATAAAAGGGATTTGAACTTCTTGTTACATAAAAAAAATTCAAAGTCAGTTCTTGATATTATTATTTTTGTTTATTAGGTAAAGATTGTTTGTGTATAGATGAAGGTCAGAATTTATTGGTTTAAAAATTCAAGATAAAATCAAAATACATAAAGTGAGAAATTCTGTCGTTTACTTTAACATTAGGCATTGGTGGATCCTTCAAAACGGCAGATGTTTTCATTTTCACCTAATCATCAACAGATTCTTTTCATTTGGTTTATTACGTAAACATGAAAGATGGTTTTTCTTCTTTTCTGTTGCAGAAACAATGTGCTCGCCAAAGAGGTTAGAACCCGTAGAAAATGGCACCATGAAAGCTGGAATGGAGATGAAGAATCACAAGGAGCCTTGTGGCAATAGCACTGGAAAACCTATACTGCCAGCAGCCGTGGAATTGTCTCAGACTCCCGCTACAATAACTTCCACTTGTAAGAATGATCTGCTGATGAAGGTTGGCTTGCCCATTGAAAATGAGAAAATGGATTCATAGATTAAGAGCTTTAACCAAGGAAAAAGACATTAGGATGCCTATAAGATGGTTGGCCATGCTAATAATTTGTGTGGTTATAATTTTCCCGGGGCTCTAATTGTTAGAAATGTCTTTGGCCTTTAACATCACATAGCTAAAAAGTATTTCTAGGTTGGTTATTACTTTGAGTGATTTATATATCTAATAAATCATATTGCCC